GTGTGTGTGTGTGTGTGTGTGTGTGTGTGGTGAGATGAGTCCATTGCACCTCGCGATGCAACAAGCCACGTTTATATAAGACGCAACATAAATAATGCCAATAGCACAGACATCACAGCATCAAACGAATCACACCCTGATCCAAGCGAATATTCCATTCAAATGGGTATGCACGACCTCACTGACTTCCCTAAGAAGACACAAGGACTGGAGCCCGAGGGTGCTAAGCCGTGAGCTGAAACAAACAATACGCAGCAACTAGGGGAAGGCAGAAAAAAGACAGCGAGGGAAAAAGGCATGCGGCATCAACAAAGGGCGAAGGCTGGAGGGCAAGGGGGAGGCGGGTGGGCACACAAGTGACACAACAGCATAGGACAACGAGGTATCAGCTGACAAGCAGCAACAAAGAGCGAAGGTGGGAGCCTCTATGCACGAAGGAGGCGAGAGGGAAGACGACGCAAGCACATGAAACAAGCAAATTAAAAAAAAAACTACAAATCTGAAGAAACGAAAGACCGGAAAAAAAAGTGATGATAACAAGATTGTTTCATCGGAGTTGCACCAACTCATCAGGAGGCCGAACCCTCTACAATCTGTGGAATCTCCGTATTTGATGGTTTGGTTCATGAACCCTTTGACCCTTGTTGAAGGCAGACTGTCCCCAAGCGGAACATAGCAGCAGGCAGCAACCCTGTGGAGCACCAGGCAACACAGTAGAGGCAACACGGCTGCACAACACCAAAATGACTGCAAGGAACAACGTGGCATGCAGGACATGCAGCGCGGCAACCGTGTAGTGAAGCACAAGACAACACAAGCAAGGCAACCACACTGCAAGGGACGAAGGGGCAAGCGGGCCAACAGCTCAGCAACCATGGAGCGGAGCACAAGGCACCAGCAACGAGGCAGCCAACCTACAAGGCACACAAGCGGCAAACACTGAAGGCACGGCCAGCGGATGAGCAGCAAGGCAGCGGAGAAGCGAAGCGCAAGGCAGCGGAGAAGCGAAGCGCAAGGCAACACCAACAACACAGCCACACCACGCAGCAAACACAGGAATTTCCAGAAAACCACATGTGAAGCCAGCGGGGTAGGCAGCAAGGCACCGGCAGAGCGCAGACGAGGCAGTCCACACATCCAACACGGAGCAAAGCAGCACATGACCTAATCACATCACGATTGAACCCCGCAGACTGTTGGTTCCCACCACCCACTGAGCCAGGGAGTCACTCCGACGAGCATCCGTCATCACCCGCAGGCAACACAGACATCCTGAACCGAGCGGCCCCCCTAAGAGTGCAGTAGGCACTCCAAACGAGGAACCACGGACTGTTTGGCACTACTTAAGGGTGCTCAGTTGGGCAAACACAAAATCAGAAGGAGGACAGACAACAGAAGAAAGACTGACAGACATAAAACTGTGTGTGTGTGTGTGTGTGTGTGTGTGTGTGTGTGTGTGTGTGTGTGTGTGTGTGTGTGAGCTGCTCACATAGTTCGGTCTTATTAGGGTGTTCGTTCAAAAGACAGACAGACAGACAGACAGACAGACAGACAGACAGATACAGGGATGTTCCGAGAGGTCACAAAGAGACAGAAGGAGAACAACAGGGGAGTCGTCATGTGGTCCCTCTCCTAAGCTCCTTGCAGTTCTGTGTCCGTTTCTCCCTATCTGTGGCCATAGTGAGGATAGTGGGGGCAGGGGACGGAGGTTGGGGTGGGGCTGAGGGGTGGGGGTGGGAAAGGGCTGGTAGGAGGGATGCTTCTCCCTCACCATTACTGTATTTGCACAAATGCCTCTTAGCCTGCTCGCTGGCATACTCGAAAACAACCCAAGGAAAGGGAATGACAGTGACATGGGAGCAAATGACTCTGCTTTTTCTTTTCCTTTGTTTGTTTCTTTGTTTTCGAGTTCGGAACAAAAGCCTACAAATAACTTTAATCAAGATTCAAGTATAATGACTTCATTATATTGCAAATAACGGACAACTTGAGGCATTCATGTACACGTGAGAAAGTGGAGAGGTGCAGGAGCAAGTGTACCATCACCAAGAGCACATATTCCCAGCGACGGAGGAGTCCGCCATCGTCTGCGATTCTCTTCCCGTGAACACAACGCACCCTCATCATGACTGTATTGAACCGGAAAGATAGCTTGTGTACAGTCATGGTCACTATCAGTCACGGGAATGTTTTGTAATATGAGGGACGCTGGAGCCGGTTTCCAGCAGCTGCTGCTCCCTGCCAATAGATGAAGCCTTCAATCACGGAGCCAATTAGGGAGGCTGCCCATATCACCTCCCTAAGTGGTGTCCACGTCGCAAAGTTTTCATTAAAAAAAAAAAGGAAAAAAAAAAGATCACGGCGTGCTATGTTGGGAGGAAGACGGTACACAGATCCTTACAAGAGCCTACAGTAAGGGAAGCTCTGACTTGCAGAGAACATGTTCAAATGATGAAAAACAATTTTATAAGTCTAGCCTGTCTTGGTGTTTTTTGGGGGGGGGTTCCTCTTCCTTCTTTCATTCTCCTTTGTTTTGTCTTTCCTTTTACTGGAGTTATTTGTCCTTGTCATTTTCTTTTTTCCAAAATCTAATGGCCTTTCATGCTTTCATTTGTGTTTTAGCTTCAAGCACAGAAACTTCAAGAGCAGGAGCGCTGCAGCTTGCTCGCGTCGATAATGAGGACCATAACAGATCTCAATGAGGCTGCCAAATATCCTTCACAATTATTTCAAACTTCAAAGTTAGTAGTAGTAGTAGTAGTAGTAGTAGTAGTAGTAGTAGTAGTAGTTTTGTTAGAATTCCTGTGGTTTTGCTGTTTATAAGTAGGGAAGGTGGAGGAGGGGGCTGAAGAGAATCAGGGGAAGGTGGAGAGGGGAACAGCTAGCAGCGACGACTTCAAATCGCATATCAGTCTCCCAAGGATTTGTCTCAACACATGGCAAAACCTCAACTCTCTCTCTCTCTCTCTCTCTCTCTCTCTCTCTCTCTCTCTCTCTCTCTCTCTCTCTCTCTCTCTCTCTCTCTCTCTNCTCTCTCTCTCTCTCTCTCTCTCTCTCTCTCTCTCTCTCTCTCTCTCTCTCTCTCTCTCTCTGTGTGTGTGTGTGTGTGTGTGTGTGTGTGTGTAAATGGAGTCTGTATATGCGAACATAGTGCAGTTTGTCCTTGACAGATATCTTGTTGCTGCTGATGTGGCCAAGAAGAATGCTGAGCTGGATGAGCTCAACCGTACGCTGAGGCAGAAGTTGCAGGAAATGTACAAGTGTGAAAACTGTGGACATGACAATCTGGTCAGCGCTTGAGGTCAGCGCTCTCGGCTGCAGGAATTGCAGGCTACAAATGCAGGATGCCGGCGCAAGGTCTATCTACAGGGAACGTGTGAACGAGCGACTAGCAGTAAAGTGGCGATGACAAACTTGCAAACAACGTTTTTAAAGTTTTTTTAGGATTCCCTGATGCTGGTGACCCCTACGTACAAGGAAAGTGGGAGTCAAGTGTACACCTACCCGTAGTGGCTGATTTCTGCACAGTACTACACCCCTGTAACTGTCGATGAACAACAGGTCATGAGTTCAAACCCTGATACTGGACAAAAATAAGGTTAGGGGTCTACCTCTATATATACATGTGTATATATAAGAAGAAAGGAAAGTGTGAGTGGGACGCAAGCTGGAGGTGGCGATCTTGCCGTGCAAAGGAGCACAAGTTACGAAACGTTTTCAGGATAGCCGGCAAAATTTCCTTCCTGCAAAGCCAAATGCAGATGCAAGAAATACTTAAGAGGGCAGAAATCTACACGGAAACACAAGCGACAAGTGCGAAAAGAGTAAGGGCGCAATGCAAATGCAGACATGGCAGAAACGTACATGGATGTGGCTGCTCCCGCATGTTCGCTCGTTGGAGGCTTGAGCACGGATGTGGCTGCTACGGGGTTCCCCGTAATACTATAATGACAATAAAAAAAGGCCTGAAAGGCTGTTCTGTCCAGATTTGATAGGTAATTGAGTTGGTTGGGCTTAAAAGAATTAGCTTTTTTTTTCTTTTTTTTTTTTTAAATGTACACGGAAACACCAGTGTGAAAAAGACTTGTGAGGCTGCGATGCAAATACAGAGGGGGCAGAAATGTACAGGGAAACACGTGTGAAAAGAGTAAGGCCTAGCGAACCCTTTAGGATAGCAAGCAGCAGAAAAAAATAGTTGGTGGAGATGCAAATGCACATTCAAGAAATGTCCTATGTATGAGTGTGAAAAAGTGCTGCGGAGATGACGTTGTCCCAAGAACTGGCCCAGATGCAAAGTGTAAGCGTAGTTTCGATTTGATTTCTGCGGGCTGGACAGTGAGGTGCAATAACTGGGATTTTTTTTTTTTTTTTTTGATTCAACTTAGGCCCTTAAGGTCCTGGCTCCATATCCATTCTGGGGAGCGTCGGTCCGGTTCCTATTCCCCCGGCAACTCCAGACAAAATTGCTACAACATATACCCACTCGCGCTTCCTTTGGTATGGCGGCTATGGCCGAAGAATCCCTGAACAGCATTGGTTGTTGCTTCACTTCATGCAAGTTCATGGAGGATCGACTGTCAGCTTGCCTTTCCCTGTGATTCCTCTCAGGATCTCTTGCAATGAACCCATCACATGGACATTGATGCAAGAAACACAGCGAACACGAACGGCAACTGAATTCTCTTCCTTGCCCCGGTAGTGGGGCGATAACTGGAAAGCTATCCGAAGGATCTTTGGTAATTGATGTATCAAGGTAGATGGTCGGGTTTGTTGCCTTAAAGGAATGCAGGGTCACCAGCCCGTACGTACGGAGGTCCCTGGGCAGACCTCCGTACGTACGGGCGTTCGGGGTCCCGTACAGGGTCCGAACGTGATGGCGTTCAGCCCCCGTGAAAACTTATTTCGGGGCCTAAAAATAATTGTTTTTTCTTAATTTTTTTTTGTGAGTTCTCTATGACGGCAGGTACATGCCTATAAAATTTCAAGTCATTTAGCTCAGCCAAATAAGAATTAAAAATCGCCAAAGATGGCGGTGTCAAAACGTGCTCGACCACGTTGTGTTTCAGTTTTTACTTTTTGTTTTCACTTTTGTTCGGGGTCTAAACAATTTTATTATTTTTTGAAACTTTTTTAGTGGGTTTTGCATTATGTAAAGTACACATTTGTAAATTTTCAGGGCATTTAGCTATGCCAACAAAAAAAAGAAAAATCGCCAAAGATGGCGGTGTGCACTCACTAAATTTTTTTATTTTTTTTTGTTATTTTTATTATTAGTATTTGTTTTTCGTATTTTATTTTTATTTCAAATTTGGTAAGGAATTTGGATGTTATGCTCAGGCAAATCTTGTTTAATTTATTTTTCTTCATAACATATCTTTTTTTTCAGATTTTTATCATTTTTTTGATTTTTTTTGTTTTTTTTTTGTTTGTCTTTTTTTGGGTCCGCGTTCGGCCCGAACGGCCGAACGCATCCCCAAGGGGTCCCATACGTTCGGGCGTCCGGGTTCGGGCGTTCGGCCCGTCCCGAACGCCTCCGACGAAACAGTTTGTCACAGCCCCTCATTTGTTGTCCTCTTCTCTCTCTCTGCCTACAGTTTACCGGGCAGTTCTGTTTGTGACGATATATATCGTCAAATAGAACTGCCCGGTAAACATATATAAAACTCCGACGAAACAGTTTGTCACAGCCCCTCGTTTGTTGTCCTCTTCTCTCTCTCTGCCTACTGTTTACCGGGCAGMTCTGTTTGTGACGATATATATATATATATATTCTATTTGACGATATATATATATACAACATATTTTTGTTTTTTTCTTTCCTAAATGTAAATTCTTCTCTCAAATCTTTCATCATCTTTCAAATTCTTTCAATTCACCTTCCTTACTTAGACACTGCTGTTGTCCAGTTGGGGGTGGGGGTCAATGGAAAGGGAGGCGCAACTACTGGCAAAATGCTCGGTCTGGAGGGCAAGGTTGGGTAGTAGGTGGCGGACAGGGTGTTGCTACAGTTTTGGTTGAACATAGCCAGCTTTTATTGTTTTACCTTTTTTTTTTTTTTTTTTTTTTTAAGAACCCCCGCGACCATGGTAGGGGGAGTGATATGAGCATCCCCTCCTACGTTCCCGAATGGTTTTTTTTTTTGTTTTTTTTTTTTGACATGCACTGAAGTGACTAGGAATGATGATACAACAAGCACTCACCCTTACCCACTCCACCGGGACTCCGATCTATTGGTCGGGAGCATCACCTGCTGGAAACTGGGTTTAGCGTCCCCGTACATAGTTCATATATTAACCAATCCAATAATGTGATAGCAGGTCATCTCTTCAGCCTCTGGCGCGGCCGCTTGAGATATGACTAACTCCTAGCATCCCTGCCCCAATGAACTCCTCCTTTAATCCTCTTTTACAGGTTCACATTCAATCCCCCACCTCTCTGCCGAACCACTGTAGATCCACCAAAGCCGACCCAGGGGGTGGGAAAATTTCAGGGAAGTGACCAGCAGACTGCAGGATATCTCCTGATTGTAAATCAAACCAATCATTGAAAACCATAAAGTAATCTCTTTTGACCGGCAATTCAACCCTGTCTTTCCCAGACCGTATCACCCTCCCAACTTTTCCTTCATTTGAGTCTCCCAGCCAATCCATTTCAAATTCAATAATAATAATTATTAATTTATTAATATTATTATATCATTTTTTTGTTGTTTAGTGTCCATTTTTTTGGACCTAGCTTTGGCCCATTGAGATCTAATCTCTGTTTCCACAAAATGTTGTATTATTATATTTCCGACCTCTGTTCCTTCCAATCGTACTTCCTCTATTGAAAAAATACATATTTTGTACCATATCGCGCACAAGACTGCTTTTCTTCCTAGTGAGAAAACGTTTTTTTTCTGAAACTCCGTCATACTACCAAGAAGATTCCATTGACCCAACAAGATTGCTCTTTATTCCCACAACCAATCTATCTTTGTTAGGCATCTCCATATGCTGTCCCGCGGCGCCACAAGAGGACTGGTCCTGGACATTGGGTAAAAACATCGTAGATTGTCTCTCTATACTTCCTAGATGGAAATGCTTTTTTTTTTTGTTTTTTTTTTTTCCTACTTGGAAATTGTGACACGCAAGATTTACAATTTTACAACGTGATAAGGCAAACCAATCATTAGTTGCTAAACAGCAGCGCATTATCTGCCGTCTCAAAGAGGCAAAATTGACTGCCCGTTTCATAGAGCCCCCTAAACCATTTTATCGGACGAAGTTTGTCCATGCCTATATTAAGATGTCTCGTTCATCTCTACCTTTGGGCAAATCATTTTATAAGTCGCTTTCACTGTGAGTGATTGCAACGAGCGAGGTTTGCCTTGCCTTCCTAATTTTCCGGATCCGGAGGGTAGTTTCCAGATTGCCTTGCCTTGCAACGGACGAGGTTACCATGTTCATTCTTCCGGATCCAGAGGGTAGTTTTGAAATTGGTGTATGCGGCAGAAAAGCACGTAATTGGTTACCTTGTAAAATATGGACGTCTCTTATTTTATAGTATTTATACATTATTTCGAAAGAAAAAAAATTCACCTGGTCTGGATGATGACTAACTAGTGTGTGATTATTAAAAACCTTAAACATACTCACTATTGCTCCCTCTTCGAATAAGCACACAATTTGTCCAATTTCTTTGTTGTACTTTTTATCCAGTGACACAGTCCCCTTC